ACTCTCAACTCCATTGATTTCTCCTGCCAAAATATATTGATAAACAACAAATCATAATTTCTTTAGAAAATGGTAATATGGACTTTTAAGGAACCCGTTGTAATGAGAACAATGTATAAGATAAATGTAAATTATAATACCAAAGAGGAGAGAAGAGAAAAAGAAGAGTAATAGTGAGGCGAATAGTTTTATCAGGGAATCCATTATCAAGATTTAGAACAAAAGGCTTTTTTCTTTCCTTTTTTTGTGTGAAAGACAACAAGAAATGGAGAGAAAGAGTATGTGGAGGACAAGCTGAGATGGGTTTAAGGAGTGAAACATGGAGAACTGAAATTGAAGTGTGTTCTTATTAATATACTCGACCATATCGGAAATAATTAATTTTACAATGTTTAAATATAGTAAAAAAGAGTGATTATTATTCGGTAACAAAATTATACTTGTATACTCTTAAAATAAAACCATATTCAAATATTTGTCCATACCCACAAATATCTATAATCAAACAACTCATAAATTATCGTCGTTATATTACAGCCAACTTTAAAACGTGAATGCGTGGATTTTAAAAAAGATTTTTTTTATTTAATTGACATTACTATGCCAAATAAGGCATGGTCCCAAAATTGAGTATTTTTCAAGGTCAACAAATAATAGCAACCACATGTCTACCAAACAACCAAATACTAGTTAGTCTTTTCTTTTGGGTCTTCTAAATACCAATGACAATGAGTCACATAATTTCACAATTTAATAACACTGGCAAAACATTCTACCAAATCCTATTATTACCTACCAACATTATTTTAGAAGAAATTTGTTTTACAGATAAAAAATAGTTTAGAAAAAATATAAATTGTCACGCAATATCCATGGGTCGGTGGTGAAAACTGAATATCCCCTCATTTCTCCTCGGTACCATTATCGGATGCATTACATTGACATTTGAGAATATAAACAAGCATCACCATTCTCGAAAGCTTGACCAAATCGGCACAACTTAAAAAACAAGGGCTAACGCAGTAATGCATAATCTATTTAACTTAGCCACTTCATTCGTCTGATGAGGCCAAATTTTGGTATTTACAAGTTATAGAATCCCACGCTAAAACGTGCATTTGAATCATTTCTTATGCGAAAACTCTCATTTTCATGATGATCTATTGGTTGAAGATTCACCATGTTAGTTAATTTGAACCATTCCAAAATGATCATTTCAATTATGGTTGGCCATAATGAACATTTTAACTGACAATAAAATCTGGAAATTCACAGTCCCCAAATTCTAGACTGGACAAAAACATAGATTTCGTCCGGTTAAACAAAAAACCGAAATTCCCATTCTTTTGTTCACCAGAACGTATGTGTCATATTGAGAGGGTTTGATGAGCTTTTGTGGATGTGTTATGCTAAAACGGTTTTAGAGGGTTTTACAACTAAATGTCTAAATCAAAACAACAGAGTTTTCAAGTGATTGTCATAATGGGAAATTAGGCTCAATAACTAAAAAAAAATTATAACTCAATAAATAACCAATTCTCCTAAATCTAATGGCCACAATATTGCTACAAATGCCATTTTTCTTAGATTTTGAATTATAATTTTTTTTTTGGTTATTCACCAAATTGACCCTTGTCATAATATGGGCTAAGTTAAAGCTACAAAATACTATAACAACCCATGATGATTTTTTCCCCCGTTAATAAGTAATCATAACTTTTATTAAGAACAAATGCTTGTCAAAATCGTGATATTATACATATATTAACCCAAGAAGCTACCATAACAATTTATTA